GCAATTCATATTATTTATTGATCACAAATTACACATTGATTGCCAACGCTCTTAATCCCACCCCACTTCACTCCACTCCACCACCATCGATACTATTCAAACGATGTGTCATTTCACCATCATCACCACCACCACCTGTATCAATAACCACCACTACATTTTTGTTGTGTGTGTTTGCATGTATTGCAATGAGGGAGATGAAAGTCTTGGTCGTGGATTTGAGGATGTTGCCCACACCACTTGCACCAACAACCACCACCACCTTCTCAAAATCCACCATCACCTCTACCTCCACCACTCCACAACCATTGACGATTGCCACCTTGAATCCTCAACTGACCACTATTGCTCGAATCGAATTGGAGACCTCAACATTGCGATAATACTGCGAACCCGGGGGAGGGGGCTTGAGATGAGGTGCGAAATGGTGAACCTAGTTGAGGCATTTCTAGCGAAAGGAATGATCTAGCGATGACGACCATAAATGATGTAGGTAAGATAGTGAGTACAGATCTTGTGCTCCAATCCACCATCGTTTGTGGCCAACGAAAGATAGAGAGAGAATAGATAGAGATATGTAGAGAAAAAGTAGGTCCGAATATTTTGTGTGGGTGTGAGTGCGGGTGATGGGTGGGGTTGCCCAGGGCGGCCGCCCTAGCTGGATTTGTCGGGGAGAATTTTTTTTGCTAATAATAGATAGAATTTTTAAATTATATATTTGATAATTCATATTGAACGGTAGAGAGAGAGAGAGAGAGAGAGAGAGCAAATAGAAATATATGTAAAGAAAAAGTGGGTCTGAATATTTTGTGTGGGTGATGAGTTGGGTTGCACTTGATTTTTGGGGAAAAAAAAAAAAACTTAGTTATTAATATAAAAAATTAGAAAAAGGTGTGTGTAATTTCCTAAAAAAATAATTGAAAAAATAACTCTTATTGACCGGCAAGCTACGCCCATCATAAGGAAAGCACGCTCAAAAAAATAAAATCCAGTAATTTGGAATTTTCCATTTTTCAAAAGTGACAAGTGGAAATTCAACTTTGATTAATTCCGAAAGATTATAATAAATGCGACAACAAAGCTAATTGGTATTTTACTGTATAATCGCCTTGGCCTTTTTAGAGTTATTAACTCATTTTTGACCGCCATAAATTGTGGGCTTTCACTAAATCATTGTTGTTTCTGCTTTAATGGGCACTATAGCTAGGGTTCTTCACTCATACTACATTATTTTTGCTGTATTAATCCAACCCCTTATTTAGTTTGTTTGCGGCTTTTTTAATATGCCCTCGATTTGTTGTTCGTTGCTTAATAGATCATAACCCATTTAGTTTTTCTGCAAAAATCTGAATTTATTTGTGCGTTACTGTTGAATTTCTTGTTCTATTTGTGTTATTGAATTGGGTAAAACCCATATGGTGGAGTTTCCTTGAAAGCGTGATTTATCCGTACGCTTTGCATGCGAATTTGTTGTTTTATTCGTTCTGATTGGTGATAATTTGAGAGGTTTTGAATGAGGGACAACTGGACAAGAGTGTGCGATGTGGTAAGAAATGAAGTTTGGCGTTTTTAAGAGATGGGGTGTGTTTTTGGGAAAGAGAATTTGTCATCTGGGCCTCCTACTGGCCAGGTTGTAGCTGGGAACGGGAGAGGGAATGGGGGAGAGAGAGATTTGGCTGCACCGTTGGGGAGGAGAGAGAAAGTAGTAGTTGATTCAGTAAGTAAGGCGGAGGACCGTGGTAGATACAAAGGCGGAGGGGGTGGTGAAGTTCAGAATGGTGGAGATCAGAAGGAGGAGCCGAAGGATGGAAATGTGCGGCAGCCGAGAGGTGAGAGGAGGAGGTCTAGGCCAAATCCTCGGCTAAGTAATCCCCCCAAGAACATCCATGGCGAGCAAGTGGCTGCTGGATGGCCAGCTTGGCTCTCGGCAGTTGCTGGGGAGGCGATAAATGGGTGGACCCCTCGCCGGGCTGATACATTTGAGAAACTTGATAAGGCAAAGTGTTATTTAGTTTAGTTTCCAGTTTTATTATTATTTTTTTCATTTTTAATTTTTTTAATGTTCTGTTGATTTAATATCTCATTTGATGTATGTTTTTCTGTGGTGATTGAGTTTAGATTGGACAAGGTACTTATAGCAATGTATATAAAGCTAAAGATACCTTATCGGGGAACATTGTTGCGTTAAAGAAAGTCAGATTTGATAATTTGGAGCCTGAGAGTGTGAGATTTATGGCTCGGGAGATTTTGATTTTGCGTCGTTTGGATCATCCAAATGTTGTGAAATTGCAAGGATTAGCGACATCAAGAATGTCATGTAGTTTGTACCTAGTGTTTGATTATATGGTGCATGATTTGGCTGGCCTGGCTTCAAGCCCCGGAATCAAATTTACAGAGTCTCAGGTTGGATTCTACTTATTCATTTTCACTCCTTTTCTCATTTGAGTTCCTGAATCATTCTCTTGTAGATTTGGAACAGTTTTCTTAAGCTAGCATTATACGATTTATATTATAGGTCAAATGCTACATGCATCAGCTACTGTCAGGCCTTGAACACTGCCACAACCATCATGTGTTGCATCGTGATATTAAGGGGTCAAATCTCCTAATTACTGATGGAGGAGTTCTCAAGATTGCTGATTTCGGATTGGCTACCACATTTGACCCTAACAACAAGCAGCCAATGACCAGTCGAGTGGTTACTCTTTGGTACAGGCCTCCAGAGCTGCTGCTTGGTGCCACCGATTATGGTGTAGGCGTGGACTTGTGGAGTGCTGGGTGTATTTTAGCGGAGTTATTTGCTGGGAGGCCCATCATGACTGGGCGGACAGAGGTAGATGCTTTTTCCAATTCATCCTCTTCATGACCATTCCTTTGGCAGTCAGATGCTACAATATGATGCCCTCAGTTGCTAGTTGTTACTAATTCTCCTGACCTTCTGTAACTAATGACCTGCTATTACTGGAAATGATGGTTTGACATTCTATATTTGATCTAGAAATAAAAATGTCTCGTTGTTTTTGAAGCTGAATTTATTTCGGTAATTGCTCAATAAATGAAATAGACGAAAATATGTTGCCGAATGTAGTAGTTATTCTGAATTAAAAGATGTCTTAATAAATGATCTCTATATGTTTTGCTTTATGTTATCCTTACTTGAAATTTATATTGGGTTTGCTTCCCAATGGTCACTAGTTCGAGTCCCTTCAAGGCCGGCGGTAAACTTCAGGGCCCCGTAGGAATAGTCAAGGTGCGCGTAAGCTAGATAAACATTGTGTTGGTCGCACAGAAGAGTAGCTGTAGGTAAATGAAGTAGAACATACTTGCAATGAGATCAGAAGCACTAACTCTCAAGAGTCTGTATGATTGTGGCAATTTTTCAGTTATTTTACCAGTAATAAATATTCCGTTAGATAATACTAGGTATGAAGGTACACTGATTAGGTGCGACTGCATAAAATAGAGTGGGGTCCAGTAGTTTGGTTCTCAGCATAACACAATTATGAAAGAGGATTTTGAATCATTTATTTTCTTTTCAATGTTCAATGCCAGCGCTGATTCTAATGTCGTGCAACGATTTAGCTGAATATGTTTGCTTGTCTGTTGGCTTATTTTACTAATTTTTGCAGGTTTCTTTACTCCACTACAAAGTTTGAAAGTTACTTTTATCATATTTGCATAAACATTGGACTTGTAGCAATAATTAGGTGAATAATGTTATTGTGCTTAGGTGGAACAGTTGCACAGGATTTTCAAGCTATGTGGTTCTCCATCAGATGAATATTGGAAAAAATCAAAACTACCGCATGCAACCATATTCAAGCCTCAACAATCATATAAAAGATGCATAGCTCAGACATTTAAAGATTTCCCACCATCATCACTTCCATTAATTGAGACTCTACTTGCTATTGATCCCGCTGAGCGTCAAACTGCTACAGCTGCATTAAACAGTGAAGTGAGCTCCCTCGTCCCTGTCTCTATAAACACTCATGCACATACACAAACAAGAGAAGGAATGGAAACTAAACCCTCCTTTCTTAAGAAAATCATAAAAAAATATCATTTTATTTTGTGTTTTTTTATGTATTAACTCTTGGAATGCTACATGATTGTATTTTTCCTCATTTCTCTCTCCCACCATTTTTTTTCCCTGCATGAAGTTGTGTTGCTTAGCTTGCTGTAGACATTTATGGAGAATTTACAGCATCCATGACATTTGTCCAATACTATAGATCTGAGTGGTCAAGGATTCTTTTTGTATGTCACACCAAAAAGTTAGTTATTAGTTGTTTTCATTCTTGCAGTTCTTCAGAACAAAACCTTATGCATGTGATCCTTCTAGTCTTCCGAAGTATCCGCCCAGTAAGGAGATGGATGCTAAGCGCCGCGATGAAGAAGCTAGAAGGTTTGAAAAATAAATATAGCCATGTAGTATTCGTATTGACTTTTGATGTTTCATTAGATTGAATCTATACTTCAAATTTCAATACTTGCTGAAGTACCTGACACACATTATATCAAATTTAAGATATAATTCCAGGATTTAACAATTGAAGTAAAGATGTGGTATTTGACTTATCTTCCATATGATTACTTCTTTTCTATTGTCAAGAAGTTGCAGGAACAGTGATATGTAATTTATTACATTTCCCCAAAACACCTGACATGAGCTTCATGTTTATAGGCTAAGAGCTACTGGTAGAGCCAATGCTGATGGTGTGAAGAAAACACGTACACGGGAACGACCAATTCGAGCAATCCCTGCTCCAGAAGCCAATGCTGAGCTGCAAACCAATGTTGACGTAAGTCATATAACATGTATCCTTGAGAATTATATTTATCCATTGGTTTATTTTGTAAATTTGAGACTTTGTTATAATCTGTAAAAAAAAAAATTAATTGAAGAGTTGTGGAATCTCTTTCTCTCTGCCACCCCCCCGCCTTCCCCTTCTTCTCTAAACCTTTCTTCACTGTTTTCAGAAGCAACAATTGTATCAGTTCTTCTCATGTCACCGATGTCAGTCTGCTGACATTTTCTTTTTTAAATTTGTTGGATTATTTCTTTCTATGACCTTGATTCCTCGTGGCTCTTTGGAGTAGAAATGCTATTTGTATGGTTGGATAAATGAGCTTCATGATTAAAATACTTGCTTTCGGTATTTGTTTATGAGTTTTGCTATAACTTGCTTCTGTCCCTGCCAAAACAGAGAAGGCGACTAATTACACATGCGAATGCAAAGAGCAAGAGTGAAAAATTTCCTCCACCACACCAGGATGGAGGACTTGGTTATCCTTTGGGCACTTCACATCACATGGATCCAGCCTTTGATCCTCCTGATGTCCCGTTCAGTTCCATGAATTTCTCATATTCCAAGGAACCCATTCAAACTTGGTCGGGACCATTGGTAGACCCCTCTACTGTTGGTGCTCCACGAAGAAAGTTGAAGCCGTCAAGGAAGGATAAGAACTTCAGTCAGAACAAGGAGAAAGGTAATATGTAATATATCACTATTCTATACTTTCAAATAATCAACAGTTTGAGGTTCAACACTGCAAATTCGTGTCTTAAATTTGACTATTTGAGAGGTAAAATATCTTTCGTTCACATTTGTTTCTATTATTTTTGGGATCATGAGGATATCGAAGGTGTATTATAAATGTTAAATATTTTTCCTTCTTGCAATCAACTTACAGTGTCCTGATTAGTGAATGATCATAATAAGAATTCTAATATTTCTTTTTTTGTTCTTCATTGTTTATTCTTACTTTTGTGGCATCCATACAGTGACCTGATTTTCAAGCATTTTTTTTACTCTATTTTGCCTTTTCAAATGCTGCAGTAGCTTCTATTTTTTGCGTTGGTTGTTCCTAAATCATAAAAATCTTTTCCTTCATTGATTTCCCACTCAAAATCACTCTTGGGGCTATAGAATTCATAATGAATGTCTGAATGTTCAATGTTGAATTATGTTGTCTTAACAGTTGATGTTACTTTTCCCTATTTTGGTTTTCTGCCAAGTTCTGGGAATGGTATTTAAGAATTTAGAATGGATGATTGAGGCGCTATTCGAATCTCATTATTTCAAAATTCATTTTTTCTCAGACTCATTCCAACAACATATCCTCAAAATAAAATATTTTATACATAAATTCAAAATTTTTTCTTACTTTTTAACAATACATTTTTCAACAATTCACTATTACAAAACTGATTTTAATGAAATAATGGACGGACATCAAACAGGGGCTAACATGGTGTATAGGGTCCAAAAAGTCCAAGGGAATAAATAGATCTATATGAAGCCCAAATAACTAGTCGGAGTTCAAGACTGGTATTAGTACTCTGGCTATGCATCAGTGACAGGGAATGATACATAAGTCAAGCTTTAATTATACCCCAATTTGATTTTAAGAGAAAATGTTTAAAAGTTCAAAACTAACGTGGTAATTAATATATATTCTAATAAATATGCCTCAGAAAATAACGCTTTTAGTTACCATTCTAAACGGA